TTACATGAACTCTCCCTTCTCCAATACATCCTGTATAAAGTAGGGCCTGTGTAATTTTACATTTCACATTGATATCTGGGACAACAGTACTAGCAAATTGTATAAAGATTAAAATGTTCCATGAAACGAGTAGTACTGAACTTGTGCTGTCCGGTTAATTTTGATTGCGATCTGCTTTAGCTCCTTCTAATCTTTTGCTGTGGGTTCATGTTTGCAATCCGTACTTCATAAGTTTAGAGACTTTGAATTTTGTCTTTTAAAAGCATAGCACTGAAATAACACAATGCAAAACAATTTCCATTTCCTTTCCATGTTGCAGATTTCCGTATGAAATTTTATAAGGTAATTAGCTTCATCAGCTTGCTTTCTAAGGGATTTTTAATAAATGACTGCTTTTAAAAATTCCTATCACAGACAGTTATCCTTAAATACAACTATTAAAAATATAATGTTATCTAAGGTTGTATGCCATGAATAAATCCTTACTCTTGTTTCAAGACTTGTGCAATGTTTAATTTGAGCCTGAGTGAAAATATCTTTTTCTTCTATCTCTTTATATGTAAATGTGTGCAAGTATCTATGTATTATATTTATATTGGTTAACTGCATATTGCCCAAAGTGCCCTGTAGTGTGCTTTTAAATTCTACATGTTGTTTTATGCTTGCAAGAGTTGGCAAGTGAATATACTGAATGTTTTGGCCTGAGCTACATTGCAGGATTGAGGTCAGTAAGTTCTGTTCTATTAGTGTCTCTGAAGAAACATTTCCTCTAGGAATTCTGTGACACCACTGTCCTGATTTGTCCTGCCACAGCATTCTGTCAGTTGTTCTATTTTGTGTATTAACTTAAAATTTAACTTTTAGGAATTGTTTAATTATTTTATAGAGTTCTTCAAGATTCTGTGGATTAAGAGAGATTAATGAAAAAGAGATGCTAAAATCCAACTATACATTTAAAGTTGAGGAATTCACTAGGTCATTTCACTGGTAATAATATTTTCACATTTCCAGAGAGTAAGCAATTGCTATTCCATATTTCATTAAGATAGGTCCTCCTTCTTTGGAAATTTAATGCCAAAATATCTAAGCTTATTATCTCTACACTTTTGAAGTCATCTGTCATCCTTTACTGTTTAAGCCAAAATGCTATATCTGTGATTTAGAGTATTTTAATTCATACCTTCATTGCTGAAAAAAATCTCAACTTTCCTGTAATCCATCCCAACTGTATTATGTACATTATATGAAGAATGTACCATCCTAAGAAAATCACATCCAGTTTCTGCTCCCAATAGCCAAATCCCTCCACCTTATTCTGTGTCCTCACTCAACTACACAAAATGGCTTTCTAATTAAAAAAAGTGCTAAGTATTAGAAATGTCCATGTCTTTTTCTTCCATATAATGTTATTGTTTCTGATTTTTTTAGTAGTTTTTTGCTGTGAAATATAGGAGTGAAAAATATTACTTCTACCTAATAGCAAGTTCAGTTTTGTAAAAACAAAGACAAGGAATTTGTACACTAAGGATTCCTGCTCCGGGCTCTCTCTAAATTACATTATGCTCAGAGAAATTTGGTGTAGTAGCTCATATTATCATTACTATTTTATATAACGAAGAAAAAAATTGTAAGGCCTAAGAATGATTTGCAAAGGACCCGAAGTCCTTGGGTGGCTGATCCCCCTTTTTTGTGTTATGGTGCATGACACCAGAAATGTTAACACTCAGGAGCTGTTGCTGGAGGCAGTGGGAGATGGAAAATGCCCCCCCAAACGCTGAGTGCCTTTCAGGGATGAAACCATGGCTCCACTAGAGATCTCTATCTCTGTGTTGGTGTCAGTTGCACCCTGGCATGCAGGCAACAAGGTGGGTGGCAATGAAGTTCCTCTGGTATTTTAATGTACAAACAGTCTGTGAGTTTCGCTTAGCCCACATCTTAATATTATTACTCTTTTACACCCCAAATAAACTCAGATATGCCAAATATACTTACATAACATGACAGTTATGGACTTGATCCTGCAATAATGGGCCTGGTGAAGGTTCCATGGTCCATAACAAAGTATGGACTGGAATAAAAAATGATAAATAATAAATAATAAGATACATAATTTAGTATTGCAATTATTTATTGGCATAATAATTATATGTAACCTGTAAATTCCATAAAGAAAAGTGACATCAGAAGTACCAACAGCTACCACACCAAGGAAAATATTTTGGATTTTACTCAGTAATTTAGCAGATTACAGGACAATGTCTTAATTTATTATTTTAATTATTTCAGCGCTTTCTGATTAAAAACTGTGCAGTTTTCTTTGGTGGCTCTTGCTCTCACAAACACAGCTCATGGCTTCCCTAGAGCAGAGATGACAGCTGATGGTCTTCTGATTGCACTCCACATGGGGAACTACCTAGCTGGCTTCTCTGAGAAGCTGCCAGAAGTTTCCCTGTGTCTGATGGAGCCAGTGCCACCTGGATCTGAGACGAACCTGCTGCTGGCCAAGGCTGAATTGCAAACGAAGCTGGAAGTACCTCTGGGATAACATATTTAAGAAGGAGGGGAAAAAATGGTGCAACTGCAGCAAGAGAGAGAGATATTCAGATCTGGTTTTATTTCTCCTTATCCTACTCTGGTTTGATTAGCAATAAATTAAAATAATTTCCCCAGGTTTCTTATCAGGCAGAAAATATCAGAGTTTCACAACTAAGTTTTGGGGATATCTCTTGTCCGGAAAAGATAGAAGAGGAAAAAGCCCCTTCATCACTTGGAGGTTCTTTGCCCTTTCTGGAGCTCTGGGCTTGAAGGGATGTTGCTTTTCCAGCCATTGATTTCTTCAAGAAAAAGATGGGACTTGTAGAGTCTACAAAGTATCTGCTTTGCAGTGGGCCTTTTTTAAGAACTCTACCCACTTAGTTTGCTGGTGTGTGTGCAACAAGCTCACTGGGAAGAAAGTAAGATTTGCTTTTGTCTAATATTAGGCAGGAAAGCAGTAAAATGTGCTGGGTTTGGGAATAATTGGACCCTAAGTATTAAAAACAAATTTTAAGGCTATTAATCTATAAAAATAATTCTCCTAACGTTAATCTCTTAGATGAATCCCACAGTGTTTTTAGAGGAACATTAAGCTTCTTCAAAGGAGCTGGCAGAAACAGGAATTCCGTATTAAATGTTTCCTATGGAATTACTAGTATTGTGTCCATATGTGTGTATGTTTGTGTCCCCATCAATTCCCCTTAAAAATATCATGTTTCTCCAAGTTTCAAGGAATGAGTGCTGAGGTGAGAGAACAATTTAGTGACCCAAAGGAGAGAAAACTTGCAACATTGTTAGGCACCAGAGAACTTAGAAAGGGAGCAGGATGAATGCCTCCACTTAGAGAGAAAGCTTCAGAATTGATTCTCCACTAAATGACTTGCACCATCTCAGAGCCAGAGGAGACCCAGCTGCAAGAGTTCTTCTAGTTCTCCAGCTCTTCAGGTAATGTGGTGTTGTCTCTTTGATGGAGTCAGGATCCTGTGCATGCTCAGCTGGAGGCACTTTACAGAGAAGCACAGAGAACACAGAGGGCCTTCCCTGCACTGCTTTCCCCTGTCCAGAGGACTCCCAAGGCATGCCCTGATGGGAAGGTCCTCAAAGCAAACTTGCCATAGAAGAAGTAAAAGAAGCAAAGGTAGCACAACCGTTATTTATCCCCATTGGGTTCCCTGGGGTTCTGTATGGAATGCTGGGCTTGTGCCCCAGCAACCGTTGTTGTCCCCTGCTCCTGCAGCCGTTGGTGGAACACAGGTGGATCGCTGGTGGAGCAGCAGCTGCAGGATCTGGTCCTGGGCTTTCTCTAAACAGCCAGCTCCTAGCCTCAGCCCCTGATCTGGCTTCTGGGTCAACATTCTCATCTCCTCCTGTGCTCCCAGAATTGCTTCAGGGCTGCCAAAGGTAAGAAAATCCTTGTTTGCCCTTAAACTGGTATCAGAAGTGCAGGAGAGTCCAGCTGGCTGTCCCACCGACCACAACAAACATGGTCTATGGTCGCTTTCCCCAGAAGAGGTTATAAATTAAAGTGGGGTCCACCTTCTCTAGGAATAATTATGCCTCCAGTGGAAATGTGGACATTTCAATAGACGAGATAGGGAGATGGCATGGTGCAGTTTCAGATCCTTGTCCACTGATGATCTGATTATCAGTTCTTGGTACCTCTTTAAGTAGTAAAACTACATTGTGGTTACCCCAGAACAATCCTATCATTACAGAGGAGTTCAGGAGTTGTGTCAGCAAATACATTAAGCCCTGACTCTGCCCACAGCTTCCCCAAAGCTTTAAAAAACAGAATTATGTGACTTCTCCTCTGCAATTCCTGTTGTGCATAGGATGCAACCATTTTACTGGGCTTGTCCTCCAATACTGGCTTTGACCCTCCCAAAATGTTCTGGTTTTAATTATTATTATATTTGTATATTTATATAAAATTTAAATTTGTATTTATATTTGTATATAAATTATAGATACATTCTATTTTAATATATGTATATAGACTTTTTATTTTTTACATATATTGAATATCTTTTCTAGATAGATATTTGTATAAATTTCTCCATGTTTTTCAATCCCTGTGGGGCTGGTTCTGCCCCATGGTTAGAGGCAGCTGCAAAATCCCATCCTGAATAGTCCCTCTCAGGAACAGAATCACAGAATCTTCTGAGTTGGAAGGGACCCACAAGGATCATTGAGTCACCCCCCAAAATCACGCCAAGTGCCTGAGAGTATTGTCCAAATGCTTCTTGAGCACTGTCAGGCTTGGTGATGTGACCACTTCCCTGAGGAGCCTGTTCCAGTGCCCAACCACCCTCTGGTGAAGAACCTTTTTCTAATATCCAGCCTATAGCTCCCCTGACTCAGCTTCCTTCAGTCCTGTTACTGGTCACTAGAGAGAAGAGATCAGTGCCTGCCCCTCTGATTCCCCTCATGGGGAAGCTGCAGACTGCTATAAGGTCCCTCCTCAGAAGTTCCACGTGAAAAACTCAGCAATTACACCAAACTGAGGGGAATTCAGAGAGAATAGCTAGTGGTTTGCAACAATGAGGATGAGAAGGAAGTCTACAGGGCAGCGTGGGCAGAATGATTTTTACCTGGAGCATTGTTTTGATCTCTTTCAGGTGGAAAGGAGAGGGAAAATGAAGAAGAAAGCAAGAGTCCGCATTAAGCCGTGAGTTCTGGCATAGTGATTAAAGGATAGCAAATCTGGGGAATGGCAAGGAGGGAACTGCTATTTCACAGTCAAAGTGGGATTGGTTCAAGCCCATGGGTCCATGGGATGTTCTCTTCACCACTTGACTTTCTCACCTCCACTTCCTTTAGACACATCAATGTTGGCAGCGACTTTCAGGCTGAGCTCCCTGAGCTGCAGGCCAGACCCCCAACTGAGGATGAAGAACACGCATCCCTGGTCTGGAAGCCGTGGGAGGACACTGATTCTGTCATGGAAACACATGACAGAGGTATCTGCATGCTTTTTTCCCACCCCTGAGATACTTGGGTTTGAAAACTCATTTTTTTGGTAAAAAAGAAGCTTCCTGCATGCTTCGCTGCTCTTCTTGTCTCTCCCATCTTCCCACATTGTAGTATTAGAGGGAAGGAGATTGCTCACTTTTAGTAGACCAGCAAAAAGAACAACTTTTATGTTCAAGGGCATTTTTCACTGGCCAACAACCCTGAAAGAGGGGAGATTTATCCCTACTTACCATTACCAAAGCTGCTT